ACTCATAGCTGAAAAGGCTCGTTGAATACTTCTAATACTTGAGGCAGCTGAGTCAGATGAATCGTAATCAGTATGGAGATAGAACAGATCGGTCCTGAGTCACAAATTTTAAGTTTGGAAGTTTGTACTACTATGATTGTCCACCATGCTACCATGACCTATATCTGGAACTATTGCTTAAATCTGGATTAGAGTAAACAGAAATATACAATGTACATATATGTCATACCTCAGATTAAAATCTACCCAACTCAGAATCAGGCTGTCCCAATTCAAAATCGGGGTAGCTGGATTTAGAATGCTTATACGGGGCTGGGACCTGTAAAATTTTAGTTTTAAAAACTCAAAATTTTTTCTGATAACAACAAAAAATTTATGCAAAATTTAGTTTAATTTAATAAATTTTAGATAAATTTTGATTTAAATTTAATAAATTTTAGATAAATTTTGATTTAAATTTAATAAATTTTAGATAAATTTTGATTTAATTTAAAAATTTAATAGGTTTATTCTTTTTTTATTAACATACAATATTATAAAAATTTTCAATAAATTAGTATTTAAATTTTGCTAATTGTTTTAAAGAACATTATTATAAGAACACAAGTTTGTAATTTAATTTATTGCAATCCTGACCAAATAATTAGGAATTAATTTACATAAATTTATGTCTCTAGATATGGCATCAATATCTAATACAAACTAGTCATATACTGTATATATGTCTTAGAAGTTAAATAAGTTTATATAAAATTTTTATTATTAAATAAAGATAAATCGAAGATTTTTTAAATCTACTGCGCAGGCTATGCAACCTGCACAGGCCACATTATGATAGTTTGATGCTAATATAAGCCAAAATTGTAAATTCTTAAATCTTCTGAAATTCAAAATATTCCACCTTCCCAACGTATCACAAACTATAATGTAATATGAAAATTTTTAGAAAATTTTAGTAAGTTTGATAATTTTAGATATAAATTCTCTAGAATTTAGAAATTTTAGAAAATTTGAGTTCATACTTAAAATTTTAGATTTTTTGTGAAAATTTTAGATTTGAAAGTTTACGGGTTCCTAATACAGGGTACCTGGTTCAATAATTTGTAAGGCTAGGATTAGGGTTAGAATATTAGTATAGTGAGCCTATAGTTGGTGATATAATTAATTTGACAAATTATTACGGCAACGGCATGTGCCATATTATTTGCCGTAATTCTGTATTGCCGTAATGCCACAATGCTGTAATGCTGCAATGCCATAATGCCGCAATGCCGTAATGCCATAATACTATAATGCAGTAATGTTGTAATGCTGTAATACTATAATGCTGTAATGCCATAGTGTTGAAATACTGCAACGCAGTAAACATATTGGTGAACTTTTGAAATTGGGTTTGTAAAATGCATCCTCAATTTCAGTGACTAAAAATATATGATTTCAATTTAGTGTAAGTTTTATTACATTTTTATTACGTTTATATATAATATAAGTGATAAATTTTGGATCATTATAGCTAAATTATCTTTATCTACTCATTTAATCCCAATTCTACAAATCTGCTGATATGAACTTTTAAAGTACTTTCAACCATGAAATAAATTTACTAATTAGATTAAATACCTTTCAGCCATGGATCTCTATCATCTTTCTGACAAGAATTAACTGGAACTAACACCAACCCTTATCTAATGCAGGTTAACTTGTCAAAATTTTGATATTGTCAGGAAAGTGGTTGTTCAGAACATGATAAGATCTCTTTTGACCATTATGTATTCGATGTTTGTAAAGTTGTACAGTACCCTCAGAAAATATATTACGTTATACGAAAAAGGACACTTGAAGAATAGGTACCCCAGTAATCATCACATCACATGAAATCGTTAATGACGTTATTTGTTTACTCACACTAACAAATCGGTCTAAACTATACTATCATCTAACCCTAACCCTAACTCTAATTTAGGCCAAGTAATTTAATCATGTGATGTGATGATCACGAAGATATCATGGGAGTACTTATTCTTCAATCTTTCCTACGAAAAAACAATATAAATTTTTTAAACATGTAAATTTATTGCTTAGCAAATTAATAATTGATATTGATATACCAATTCAGCAATATATCATTACAATACATAAGTTGAAGATAATGCATCAGTATTTGTAACCATAACCTCTATTAGAAATAACTTCAGCAGTATGATTTGGAATACTGTTGATTAAATTCATGAAATCGATGCATCTAGCCTTTTCTATTCCTCAAAAAGCGTTGTCTTCAATTTTTCATATGTTCTTGGGGGTAGTCTATGTTGCTGTATTATACGTACGTATCTTTTAGCATATTCCATATATGATTTTTGTGTAACTGTAATATACTTTCTGAGGATACTGTACATACGCATGTTCGTAGAGCACTCGCACCATATCATATTGGGGTGTCACATCGACTACATAATCAAATCTATGCTAGTTACTTTGATAATTTTCTATGTTAAATTGTTACCAGTAAAATTAAAGTAATTAATCAAATAAATTTTACTTTATTTAATTATAAAGAAAAGCACAAATTTCCAAAGAATTCATACAAATATTGCACTTATTTTTCTGATTTTTGCTGACTGAAAATTATTTATTTGAACCATTTCGAAGTAACTATATTTTATTTTTCGCTAATGTCCTAAGTTTCGAGTTATATGTTTAATATAATTTTTTGGTCTTAATGAATTTTCAAATATTCTATATAGCGTATGCTCAAAACCTGAAACGTAGCTTTATTCTTTGACTTTATATAAGCAAATAGTGAAAATTTCAAGTTAATTTCACGTCTTGGCGATAAGTTGATCATTTTAAAAATCAGGTTTAAAGCAATAGTCTTATTGTATAATGATAAATTGAAAATTCAAAACCATTTGATTTCATTTGTGTAATGCAAAAATCTGCAATATGATAACTTTTATAGTTATCTGACTGACATAGTTTTAATTAAATAGTAGATGTGACACCCCAATATCATATTATAGTGCAATAGTACTGTGTTATATTTCACATTATTATAATATTTATTATGACATTACGCATTACAGCATTACTATGGCATTACGGCAATACGGCATTACAGCAATACAGCATTACGGCATTGCAGCATTATGGCACTACAGAATTACGGCTATCAGGTACTGTGCCATAATTAATTCTACTAACTGGTAAAATGTCGTAATGCTGTAATTCAGTAATTCTACCACCAACTATAAGTGAGCCGGGTACCCCGTATAAGAATTCTAAACCCAGTCTAAATCAGAGCAGCTGGAATCCGAATTGGGCTGATTCCAAATCTGGGTACAACATTTGTCATATCATATTGGTTATACAATGTTGATCTACAATCGAATTCGGAAATATTTCACTCCTTAATTTATTTATCTCATATTTATCTCTCATATTTTCTCTGTCTCTCACTCTCCCTCACTCTCTCACCCTTTACTCTCTTACTCCTTCACTCTCTCACTTCTTCGCTCTATCTCTTCTTCGCTCGCTCTCTCTTTTAAGTAAAATGGATGAAATAAGGAAATTAAATCTAATGAATATATAATAATAATTTTATATTATAACAGAGCGAAACCTGTATTATGGATCACATAAGCATAAATATAGATTTCATCCTAATGTGATCTACATAGTGAATTATTAATAAACAGCATGTGTTTTGCTCGATTGTTTTATATTTTTAAATTTGAATTTATATGTTATAATTTTTTTTTGTTTATAGTTTGTATTATCAATTATGAAATAAAGAAACAGAACACAGAGAATATAATAATTACCTCAACGACATTGCGAATAATATACCCGAAAAAAAAGCCAAAGCATTTGAAGCGATAAATGTAAGTAAAAGAATTAATTTCTATCGCTATCACAATATTTCTTTATCGTCAAAGCATGTCGGAAATGTGTGTCAGGTTGTTAATATTAGGATTATCATTTATAATAAGGTTAGAGGTTAGGTATTATATAGTAAAATCGCACAAGAAAATTTTTTTTGTTAGAGCACTAAAGCTAGTTTCTTATGCGGACTTTTGAGAAATAGGCGATTTTGACTAAACGAACACTTGTTTTGGATTTTCCTGATCGTATTACATTGCACCTGATCTCGAAATCTGATTCGTAGTTTAGCCACAGTTATGACACACATTTCTGATCTACACTGTCAAACACCTGAAGCATTGCTTTAATATTCAGTTTATAACTATGAACATTAGATTAAACTTTAAACTTAGCTTTTTAAATACAATTTATTAAAATTAAAATTTTTATTTGACATTTAGGCAAAGTTAAGCAAAGACGCGTCAAAGAAAATAAATAATTTTTGGAAAAAATGGGAGGATCAACAAAATACCCCGGTATGACAATTTAAAAAATAGATTGCAACACAACCTATTATAAGTTTATTTCTTGCCAACTTATTTTTCTGATAATATTTTTTATTTTATATATATTTTTTTAGAATACATTTTTATATACAATTTCTTTTAGAAAGGAGAAGAGGAAATTTATATTTAACGCTAATACTACTGACTTTTGGAGATCATTCCAAAGCAGAATTTAAAGAAAAGTTAGGTAGTATTAGCGAAGAATTAATCGAATTGATGTCTAACAAATATGACATCTCCGTTAAAGACGAGACCGATTTCAATATACGTTTTGCGACTATTCCAAAAATCTGAATGGTCCAAAAAGTATTAAATTTAAGTTAAAATGCTGTAAGTATATTTTTTTTATAGCTTAACTTATTCAGCATGTGTAATAACTATATAATTATTATAAATAACGCAATTAGGATTTTCCTCTTATAAACGCTTATCAAATTGAGAGAGTATTTGGGATAAGTGTTGAAAGAATTAACTAACTTCTGCCATTAAAGCTTAGTAAGTAATACATATACTAAAAATATTATTTTTATTCATTTTTTTTTTTAATTTTAATTATTTTTATAGCTTCAACGGGGATATAATGGAATTCAGAAATAAAATCGATTTTACTATTCAGAATATTATGGTATGATATATTTCTATATTGTTATACATTTAAAATTTTATTTGTGACCTGAAATTTTTTTTTTTGATGTTTTTTTTTAAAAAATTTATGACTGCTCTTAAAATGGAAAATTTTAACTAATGGTTATATTAGAATTTAATTTTTTGTTATTAGCATAATATTGATAGATATATAGTAACAGGGTGTTGAGCGAAAAGTATTATACAAAAGGTGCTGAATACGATTTGAAAAGTATAGTTTTATTTTTTTTTTTTTGTATTGCTCTTGTATTTTGTTATTGCTTAACAACTACTAATGACTCTCTATAACTACAACAACTTAATAACTTCCATTATTACCGTACAGCACAGACCATAGTCCCTACATCAAAGTACCCTCTATAAAATTTTTGCAGTTGAATACAAAATACCTGGGTATTAATTATATAGCATATATCATTTCTATGTAAAATACATCTCTTATATAATACCCAGGTATTAACTTGAATTTTAGCTGTAGAATGTATCGTATCCGGGATACTATAGTCTGTAACAAAACATTTGGAATTCTATTACTTGTTGGACCATGAAAGATAAGTTTTTCTTGAATAAATTTATTTGATTTATACATTTTTAACCATAATAACCAACAACTCTATTTTAGAATGTTACCAATTTTCTTCCACCCTTTTTCCTACCACTAATTGTTCTAGAGCTATCATCACCCTATAAAAAAGTCAATCCGTGTTTTCTTCCATGTTTTATCCATAGATAGTACATATTTTATAGAATTTATACCTTCAAATGACGGCCTACCAAATCATATTACAGATTTACGAAGAAAATAAGAAGATAAAATAGAAATTTTCAAATAATTTTTTTTTACCGGTTCGGGTAAATTTCTCTTTTGTTTATCTATTTTTGAGTCTTATCGCCATTACTAATACATTGATATTTATGATCTATATTTCATGCTGGGTATGGATGTGAAATGGCTCTAAATTTATTTTTTTAATTTTATTCATATTAGTTTTAAATAGTTTTATTTCAGGTCACATATATAATACAAACAAATGCTAATTTTGTTTTATTTTTAAGTTAACACTAGAAACGGCAGGAACCATTGACAATTGTGCCAATGAAGCGAAAAAGTCTGATTTTATTGTCATGATCTTATGCAGCATTGTATCGATGTTTTCTTCCCACAAGGTGAATTATAGCAGAGAATATTCACTATCCTACAGGAAGAGTTGACTTTACCATTAGTCAAGGTAGTAATATTCTCTGCGTAATTGAGGTGAAGATGCATGACGTTGAACATGGGTTCTGTCAGAATATAATTCAAGCAAAGACTGCTTGCGAGGTAAGATATTAGTTGAGTATAGTCAAATTAAAACCTGTAAGAAGAATTTAGGTTTTTTTTTATTTGAATTAACTACAAAATTTGATTTTTTAGAATATGGTTTCTCAGGTTGTTTGTTTCACGCCAGAGGTCCGAGGTGGTCATGAAGCAGTGATAGTAGGTGAACTGCTCTATTTTATGGGAGGTTCTCTCCAAATACAGCTATCGGATGAAGTATTTTATTTGAATCTTTCGTCGCAGTTTGCCATTGACAATCCACCATTTGTAAATATTACTAATACTTCCCGGATGCTCTATGGAAATGAAAAAGGTTAGTCTTCTGCCTTAATGTGCTTTTTGTTGGTCTAAGGAATTTAGGGATGAAATATTGTATAGATGAACTTATTCTAATACAGTGTCACCTATATTAGGCGAAGCAAAGTAATTTTCTGGTTTTCATATTCCAGCCGGGTAGCTGGGTCTTTTTAGACATCACAGAGTTATACCAAACACAACTTATATTTATTAAATATTAAATACCAATATTAAATAAGTATTTAAATTTATACTTATAAAAAAATTTTAATTGCTAATTTAAGTATCAAATTTTATATTTATTAAATACTTAATTGTTTAATTATTTTATAGTACTTAAACAAGCATATTATAGTAATAATTTAACCTACCTTATATTCAACAAATATTTTTATAAGTACTTATAAAATGCCTTGTCAAACATTATGATAGAATTTTAATAATATGAAAACCAGAGAATTAACTTTGCATGACCTTATATGTTATCCAAACTTATGTTTCTTTATATTGCTTTATTAGGAACCGCGTTATTTAGTAATGCAAATATTTATCTAATTGGCGGAACACAGCAAGATTTGCATACTTTAAAATATAATGCTACTGATCAATTTATTTTTATATATGGAGTTAATAAAACTTCTTGGACAACTGTTGGAAATAACACTAGTCAGATTCTGCCAAGGCGCAAATCAACCTCAACACAATAATGAATTCTGGATATATATATATATTTGGTGGGATGGCAGATCTTGATACTGGGTCCGATATGACTATTCTATATAACAATTTACATATATTTGATACATATTTGCAACTTTTTATTTCATTTAATATGTCTTTTCCACTTTCACCACGAAGTCATAGTACTGCAACATTGCTTCCGGATGGAAGGATTATTTATATTGGAGGTTTCACTCAGTCCGTTCCTGGAAATAATATATCCTTACATAACATGAGAGATGTGAGTTACTAATTTTTTAATTTGCAAATAAGCAATATATTTATTTATAAAAAAAAAAATCGATCATTATAGATTTCTATATTCAACACCGTTACTTATGTATGGTCTTCTCAAGTAAGTATTAAAAAAGTTCGAAAATTAAAATTATTAGATGTTCTGGTTGTAATTTCTCAAAATCTATGAATCATCAGACAGCAGATTTAGACCATTTAACAACTGTTATCGAACGAGTAGGCCATACTGCAATATTAGCACCCGACAAAAAATATATTATCATAATGGGCGGCACTCTAAGTATAAATTCGTCAATTATTCGCAGATTATAAACTTACTTTACCATTTATAATTTATATTTAATGCATTATTTGCCGTTGTCTTTAGGCAAATTAATTCAAGATACTGCTTATACAGTTTATCTAACGCTAAATGTTACACGTAACCCTTTTCAATATTCTTTGTTAAATACATATGGAAAAGAACCACCGCCACTATCGTTTCATACCGCTACCTTATATAAAAATTATATGATCGTTGCTTTTGGCAAAATAGAAAATATTAATAACACTCTAACAGCAGGAAATGCAAGTTCACGTATTTATATATTAGATTTAACAAACTTAACTTGGGTGAATACATTTAATCCTAGTTCTATTCAGACGTTGCCCACGATAGAAACCAAGTCAGGAACGAATATTAGTGTCATAATTATAATCACTACGACGATAACTATAACAGTTTTTATTATGTTAATAGATTTAATGATTGTACGTTATAAACGTTTTAAAAAAATTCATCACAGTACTACGAGAAATGTATATTGTATGGAACCTCCATCGTGAGCATGAGTACTTTTTAATAATTTATTTTTTGAGGTATTATCAAAAAATAATTTTTATGCTAATATACAATGGTGATTCAAACATCAAATCAAAATAAATCAAATAAATCAAAAGAATTTATTAAGTATTCTAATTATTCAATATGACCGAAAGTGTGTTCGTCATCCAGTGGGTTACCATAGTGATCAAATCTATTTTAAGTGCGTTGGAGCATGAATGAAGGAGAAATTGTGAAATGGTTGCCGTTTAAGGATTGGAATCGCGAAAAATTTTATCAGCAATTAATTGAATCGTTTAACTTATTTCGTGAGTAATGCAAACTAAAGTTGTGACCCGAAACCCGAAACTATACTGAAAGGCTTAGAAATTTAATTTTAAACTTTGAGACTTAAGGCATATGATAATTAGATTAATTTCAGGACTGTTTTGATTACTTTATAGTAAATGTCCATTAGTTATTAACCATTCTAATTTGAAGGTTTTCGAGTTTCTGGTCACAGTATAATGCAAACTCTTAAAAAGAAAATATCTAATCAGAGAATGCAAATTTTGACTATTCCGGACCAGCCTGACGCAGAATCATAGTATGTGCAACAGAAGAAAAAAAGAAAAGAACACAACAACACTTGGAAACTAATTTTAAATCGACCTTGATGCACTAAATAAAAATGACGTGAACCGAAATTTTACGTCTAGTGAGTGACAAATTATTCCATTAGTCTTTAATACTAATGTTTTAACTCAAATTTCACAAAACTTAATTTCTTTTTTTGATTTGTTACTCGCGAAAAATAATGGCGGCCTAAGGCAAAACCACAGAAGTAGAATTCCCATCCAAAAAAATTTGAAAGTCATGTGACATACTTCATGCAATAATTGTAACACAGTCAGACCTCTCTAAGTGCACCCACTATAAGTACACACCCTCTCTAAATGCACACTCAAATTCTGGCCCACATATATACTTGACCTCTATAAATGCACTTTTTCTTATTATTCTCTAAATGCACGTTGTTAAAGTGTAGACCAAGGGTATGCACTTAGAGAGGTCTGATTGTACAACAAATTGTATCAGCAAAAAAAATTGTATAATGATAAAAATTAGTGATCGTTTTTTAATTGTGTACAGTAGTTGTAAATTTAATAAACCATAGACAAGCGAAAAAGTTGTATTGATTGTCACTTAAATTAAAAAAAAAGACAAATTACCAACCAAAACTATGATGGCATTAAG